GCTCTACACTCTTAGAAGAAAAGGTGCCTGGTGTCTGGCCCTGTGTAGCTCAGTTGGTAGAGCATGGCGCTTGCAACGCCAGGGTTGTGGGTTCGTTTCCCACGGGGGGCCAGTATGAAAATGTATGCACTCACTAACTGTAAGTCGCTCTGGATAAGAGCGTCTGCTAAATGACTAAAATGTCAAAAAATAAAAATGTCTATACTCCATACTCCCCCTGCCTTATTCTAACCCCTGTCTCTACTGTAAGTCCCCTCTTCTCCACCTATCTACTCCTCACTTCAACCTACTTGCTGTCTTCCCACCTCCTCCCTGTCGTTCCCTTTACTCTCCTTTCTTCCTCCCCCTCTCCTTCCACTTCTAGCCCCCCTGTCCAGCCACCCCATCCTGGGACAACCTATCAGCAGTGCCATGGAAACCTCTGGATGATGTAATGCGACATGGCCTTCGTTCAAAGGCTGACATCAGTGGAGAGAGAAGAGAACTCCTCATTCTTTCCAGGGTCTGGACCAAAAACCTGGCTCACACTCAACTACCTCTCTCTACCTCTGTCTCTGTCGATATCTGTGGCTAGCACTCTCTCTCTCTTTCTCTACATCTCTATATATATGTGGTTAGACCTCTCTCTCTCCATCTCTTTCTCTACCTCTGTCACTGTCTATATATCTTAGAAAAAAAGGTGCTATCTAGAGCTTAAAAGGATTCTTCGGCTGTCCCCATAGGAGAACCCTTTGAAGAACACTTTTTGGTTCAAGGTCAAACCCTTTTGTTTCCAGGTATAACTCTTTTGGGTTTCATGTGGAACCCTTTCCACAGAGGGTTCTAACTGAAGTCAAAAAGGTTCTACATTTTTTCTCACTCTTTCTCTACCTCTGTCTCTCTCTACCTCTGTATCATGGTCTCTCTCTCCCATTCTCTCACTCTCTCTCTAATATTATCTCTCTTTCTACCCCTTTGGCTCTCTTTCTCTATCTGTGCATCTCTCCATTTCTATCACTCTCTTTCCTTCAACCCCCCTCTTTCTATGTCTCTGTCTTCCCTCCCATTGTCTACATTTACTTCTTTTTGGAGGATCAGTATGTTATTACCAAAATGGAGAGTTACTGAGAGAGTAAACTGTTCTGGATATTCTCCATTAGTTCTGACTGAAATTTTACAAGGTATAATTTCCAAACTGGAAAATCCCTAAAGCTGTAACACACTAACACAGATGTGCACACATAGACACACATACTCTCTCCCTCTCTCTCTCTCTCTCTCTCTCTCTCTCACGAGAGACAGAGAGAGAGGAGAGAGAGAGATAGCGCGAGAGAGAGTAGAGAGCGAGAGAGAGCAGACGCTATATCTCTCTCGTCTCTCTCTCTCTCTCTCTATCTCTCTCCGCCTCGCTCTCTATCTCTCTCTCTCCACTCTATCTCCCCCCTCTCTCCTCTCTCCCTCTCTCTCTCTCTTCTTCCTTCCTCTCTCTCCCTCAGACCCCTCTCCCTCCCCTCGCTAGAACCCATCTGTCCTGTCTGTATTTTCTCTCTTTCTCCTCTCTGGCCACAGCCATTGATTTCACATAATGTTGTTTCCAGTCTGCCTGCCTGGCTGCTTGGCGATGGGCCTTAAATTATCCATGGTTTTTCTTGGCACAGTCAATGGGAAACGACAGCGTTCAAGATCAGGGGACACGGTCTGCTAACGTCCACTGCCAAGACTAGAGGTCTCTCTCACACACACATAGAGTGTGCACACACACACACACACACACACACACACACTCACACATATAGACACATTCTGACATGCACACACACAGGACATAACATTTGCTAGCTTCTGATGAATGACTTCCTGATGAGTTAATGATACCTAAAGGTTTAATAAAGATAACACAGCTATAACTACAGTACTCTATAACTATGTAATGACACTAATGCTAGATACTCTATTCACAATGGTCATGTAATAACCAATGATGTCATGCAATAACATCATAAAATGTCTGTGGTACTATGGTACTACTAGCTAGGGTATGATGTATATGGTAAGTACTACCCGTAAGTTCACAGAAATACCACACTCACACACGGTACTTAAACATAATATAGGCACCCTCTCTCAAACCACAATAACCATGTCAACAACCAAACCACAACCCACTTCAGCATAACTTCTCCTTTACAGCTGTATGTAGGGAGCCGGCTCTGTCTCCTTAGAAAGCCTCACAGGCAGATACAACACATTGTTCACAGTAATTCCTCTATTCACTTACTGCAGGTTAGGGGTTAGAGTACAGTACATCCTGAGGGGAAGACTGTCTCTTTATCACTCTCTTTTCTTTCACTGACTCTCTTCTCTCTCTCTTTTTCTTTCCACCTCTTTCTCTATCTCTCTCTCATCTGAGTGTGTTTAATGTTTTATTGCTTCTCTCTCTCTGTTGATTTCTCTCTCTATAAATGCCTTATCGTGCCATGAATCTATTTCTAAACTTTCTGCTGATATTCAAGGAAATACTGAGTGCCAGACTTCTCCTTTTCACTTTTTGGATATTGTAAACCCACTCCCTTCCCTTACCTCTATCCAATTCCCCACCTCTCAGTCTTTTTTCTCCGTGCACTCTTACAAGATGTTGATCTAGAGATCAACTGGAAATTTGCAGGAATCTAACCCATTTGAATGAAAGGTCCAAGCCACTGAAATCAAATAAGGTTTTTCTTTGTTTTCTCGCTCACCACCTTTTAGCTGTAACCTCTGATGATAGTCAACACCCCATCTGACTAGACTAAAGTAGGGGAACAGGGAGTGAGGGAGAGAAAGAGGAGAGAGAGGAAGTGAGTGAGAGACAAGGGAGAGCGCTGAGCATAATTTGGAAACTATGTGGCATGTTTTCCATTTTCTGGGAGTGCAGCTGGAAGCCTGTCCAGTCTCCCAACTGGGCTGACAGACACACAGCAGCAGGACAGAACGTTGAAACATCTTTCACAAAATGTCCGCCTGTTTTGTTCCTACGGTAACAGCTAGCCTGTTGTTGTGGGTTTGGGTTGTTTGGGGTACTGGATGCGATTTGTGTTAATGAGAAAGCATGCTATAGGCTACAATAAGAAGGAATTAAAACCTTACTAGATCAATAAACTGAACTGCTGCTGCTGATGTCATCTGTAAAAAAATTACCGGTGGCTATTAGGATCACAGTGGGGGCAATGACAGCTGTATTCACTCACACACTGTATTCACTCACACACTGTATTCACTCACACACTGTATTCACTCACACTGTATTCACTCACACACTGTATTCACGCACACACTGTATTCACTCACACACTGTATTCACTCACACACTGTATTCACGCACACACTGTATTCACTCACACACTGTATTCACTCACACACTGTATTCACGCACACACTGTATTCACTCACACACTGTATTCACTCACACACTGTATTCACGCACACACTGTATTCACTCACACACTGTATTCACGCACACACTGTATTCACGCACACACTGTATTCACTCACACACTGTATTCACTCACACAAAAAAACTTGAAACTTGAAACACACACACGCATGCGCCCAGGAGCGGGCACACACACACATACACACAAACAATCATAAACATACTGTATGTGTGTACATTGCACTTAAACCATAGAGTCCAGGTTGACAAAAAGCATACAGCAAAACTATTATCCCTATAAAAGGAGTTACCAATGAAATAAGTGAAGTATATTTGGACTATATGAAGTGGATCCTAGACGTTGTATACCACATACAGTCCTACACTAGGGCTGTGGCGGTCAGGACATTTTGTCAGCCGGTTATTGTCATGCAAAAGACTGCCGGTCTCACGGTAACTGACCGTTAATTAACACAGAATAGTCCAAATTTGGTTAAAAACAAGGCCTAGATTTTTTGACAATATCGTACAGCCCAACGTGGCAGTGTGGAAATTATATCAAATGAGTGCAGGAAATGCAGAAATTGATGAAAATACAGAAAATAATTGAACAGTATAAAACAATCAGAATGGAGAGAGACCCATTGAAATCACTTAGAGTGTATCTTGCCACCCTAGGGTCACGCACTACTCATAAAGAAAATGTAGAACTTTTATTATTAAAAAACATAAAATACCGTCAAATACCGTCATACCATAAAACATTTGAAAAATACCGTGATATGATATTTAGGCCATATCGCTCAGCCCTAAACCTATCCGCTGTGGGGTGTATTTGTGTGTGTGTGTGTGTTCTATTTAGACGAGTGAGTGCAATTTTCTTTAGTCCTTTTCACAGGGCTTACTTTAAAAAGTACAGAAACACTGTTGACAATACCAACAAAGAACAGTTGGATCACTCCCTTAGCAACCCCTTCATAAAAAGTTACAATCAAATGTTCAAAAAGAATACACCACTTCCTTTATCTATTTTCTCCATCTCTGGCATAAGCAGCAGTATTTCATATTGCGATGCTTGTCAGGTGTCTCCAGGTCTCTGTGATAACCCCAAGGGCTTGGCTGTCTGTCACTGATCTCCAAATCATCTCAAGTCATCTCTAACCACAAAGCATAGTTTAAAGAACAAGGGATGGAGGGATGGAGGGATGGAGGGAGGGGGGAGGTGAACACTAGTTCTCACGATTAAACAATTTCCACTATCTGACTGTCACCTCGAGTTCAACGCCTCCCTTAGTGTACACAAAGACGTGGCAGTGAGTTTGGACAGAGAGAAAGAAATAGAGAGAAATAGAGAGAGTGGGGGGGGGGGGGGGGAGTTGCTCAGACTACATACACAGCTATACACAGCTAGCTATGCAGTTCCAAATAGGTGTTCACAGCAAGACTTTACGAAATACCTGATCTAAATCTTCACAATAATAACAAGACAATCCAGCCTGAAAATCCAGAACAAAAACATCTTAGCAGTTCAACGGGCAGAGATGATGATCTTTTCAAGGCTCATTTCCACTCAACTTTAGGTTTTAGACCACAAATCACAAATACACCATCAATGAATAGGACTAAGCGAAGGACCATGTAGATAAGCCAGCAGATCTACCTCAAAGACTTCTTCATCAAGTATTCTAGTTCCGAAGACCACAATTCCTTTGGTGTCGATGATGGGGTGTGGGCTCCTGGACAGCTTCTGGGTGGTCTTCTTTTTACAGTCCAGGATGATGGTGATGCTCTGTTTGTGAACGCTGATGGCCACTCGGTGCCACCTGGGGACAGGGACAGAAGGTTAGCTCTCTGTCTATCTCGCTCTCTCTCTCTCACACACACACACACACGTTTCACTACAGTTATACTAGCTTTGTGAGGGACAAAACGTTAGCTCACACACACGTTTCACTACAGTTATACTAGCATTGAGATGGACAAAAGGTTAGCTTACACACACGTTTCACTACGCTACAGTTACTAGCTGTGCGACTATTGAAACACTGATATTATAACCATGCAGTAATACAGTGTCTTGCAAAAGTATTCATCCCCCTTGGTGTTCTTCCTATTTTGTTGCATTATAACCTGTAATTTAAATGGATTTTTATTTGGATTTCATGTAATGGATATACACAAAATAGCCCAAATTGGTGAAGTGAAACGAAAAAAATAACTTGTTTCAAAAAATTCAAAAAAATTAATAACGGAAAAGTGGTGGTGCATATGTATTCACCCCCTTTGCTATGAAGCCCCTAAATAAGATCTGGTGCAACCATTTACCTCCAGAAGTCACATAATTAGTTAAATAAAGTATACCTGTGTGCAATCTAAGTGTGACATGATCTGTCACATGATCTCAATATATACCTGTTCTGAAAGGCCCCAGAGTCTGCACCACCACTAAGCAAGGGGTACCACCAAGCAAGCGGCACCATGAAGACCAAGGAGCTCTCCAAACAGGTCAGGGACACAGTTGTGGAGAAGTACAGACAGGGTTGGGTTATAAAAAAATATCAGAAACTTTGAACATCCCACGGAGCACCATTAAATCCATTATTAAAAAATGGAAAGAATATGGCACCACAACAAACCTGCCAAGAGAGGGCCGTCCACAAATACTCATGGACCAGGCAAGGAGGGCATTAATCAGAGAGGCAACAAAGACACCAAAGATAACCCTGGAGGAGCTGCAAAGCTCCACAGCGGAGATTGGAGTATCTGTCCATCGGACCACTTTAAGCCATACACTCCACAGAGCTGGGCTTTACGGAAGAGTGGGCAGAAAAAAGCCATTGCAAACACGTTTGGTGTTCGCCAAAAGGCATGTGGGAAACTCCCCAAACATATGGAAGAAGGTACTCTGGTCAGATGAGACTAAAATTGAGCTTTTTGGCCATCAAGGAAAACGCTATGTCTGGCGCAAACCCAACACCTCTCATCACCCCGAGAACACCATCCCCACAGTGAAGCATGGTGGTGGCAGCATCATTCTGTGGGGATGTTTTTCATCGGCAGGGACTGAGAAACTGGTCAGAATTGAACCAATGATGGATGGCGCTAAATACAGGGAAATTCTTGAGGGAAACATGTTTCAGTCTTCCAGAGATTTGAGACTGGGACGGAGGTTCACCTTCCAGCAGGACAATGACCCTAAGCATACTGCTAAAGCAACACTCGAGTGGTTTAAGGAGAAACATTTACATGTCTTGGAATGGCCTAGTCAAAACCTAGACTTCAATCCAATTGAGAATCTGTGGTATGACTTAAAGATTGCTGTACACCAGCGGAACCCATCCAACTTGAAGGAGCTGGAGCAGTTTTGCCTTGAAGAATGGGCAAAAATCCCAGTGGCTAGATGTGTCAAGCTTATAGAGACATACCCCAAGAGACTTGCAGCTGTAATTGCTGCAAAAAGTGGCTCTACAAAGTATTGACTTTGGGGGGGGTGAATAGTTATGCACGCTCAAGGTTTCTGTTTTTTTGTCTTATTTGTTGTTTGTTTCACAATAAAAAATATTTGGCATCTTCAAAGTGGTAGGCACGTTGTGTAAATCAAATGATACAAACCCCCAAAAAATCCATTTTAATTCCAGGTTGTAAGGAAACTGTATAGGGATGTTTTGTTCAGGATAGGGATGTAGCCATGGGTTCAATGTCTACACATCCGAGGGCACTATAGCACACAAAGGTCAGCTACTGTCAATCAAAGGATGTCTTTATATATAATACAAACAACCTTGGTTGACTGGCTAGCTAGATAACAAACTATGTGTTAGATGGACAGACAGCAGATTGAGATAATGAACATGTGTGACCGGTCACCTGCACAACTAAAGCCCACAGTAGTGTGTCCACCAGACTCATCAAAGCTAGACCAACCCACACCTGCTCTCTGATTACAGAGAAGCAAACAATAAGCTAAACTGAGAGCAGATTGCATTTGTTTGATATGGTACAATATAACATATGTCACTGTTGAGGCCTCTGAAGAGGGGCTAGTGTGATATAATGTAGTATATGTGTGACATTGTATATCATAGTTTACAAGCTGTGTAAGCACTAGGCAGAGTGATAAGGTATACCACAGAATGACTAGAGTTTATGGTATGGTATGGTATCAGACAAGGTGAACATACTTTCCGTTGGCCAGGTTGAGTCCTCTGAAAATGAGATAGTTTGACTATAAAGTACAGTCGTGGTCAAAAGTTTTGAGAATGAAATAAATACTAATTTTCACAAAGTCTGCTGCCTCAGTTTTGATGATGGCAATTTGCATATACTCCAGAATGTCATGAAGAGTGATCAGATTAATTGCAATTAATTGCAAAGTCCCTCTTTGCCATGAAAATGAACTTAATCCCCCAAAAAACATTTCCACTGCATTTCAGCCCTGCCACAAAAGGACCAGCTGACACCATGTCAGTGATTCTCTCGTTAACACAGGTGAGAGTGTTGACGAGGACAAGGCTGGAGATCACTCTGTCATGCTGATTGAGTTAGAATAACAGACTGGAAGCTTTAAAAGGAGGGTGGTGCTTGAAATCATTGTTCTTCCTCTGTTAACCATGGTTACCTGCAAGGAAACACATGCCGTCATCATTGCTTTGCACAAAAAGGGCTTCACAGGCAAGGATATTGCTGCTAGTAAGATTGCACCTAAATCAACCATTTATCGGATCATCAAGAACTTCAAGGAGAGAGGTTCAATTGTTGTGAAGAAGGCGTCAGGGCGCCCAAGAAAGTCCAGCAAGCGCCAGGACCGTACCTAAAGTTGATTCAGCTGCGGGATCGGGGCACCGCCAGTGCAGAGCTTGCTCAGGAATGGCAGCAGGCAGGTGTGAGTGCATCTGCACGCACAGTGAGGCAAAGACTTTTGGAGGATGGCCTGGTGTCAAGAAGGGCAGCAAAGAAGCCACTTCTCTACAGGAAAAACATCAGGGATAAACTGATATTCTGCAAAAGGTACAGGGATTGGACTGCTGAGGACTGGGGTAAAGTCATTTTCTCTGATGAATCCCCTTTCCGATTGTTTGGGGCATCCGGAAAACACCTTGTCTGGAGAAGACAAGGTGAGCGCTACCATCAGTCCTGTGTCATGCCAACAGTAAAACATCCTGAGACCATTCATGTGTGGGGTTGCTTCTCAGCCAAGGGAGTGGGCTCACTCACATTTTTGCCTAAGAACACAGCCATGAATAAAGAACGGTACCAACACATCCTCCAAGAGCAACTTCTCCCAACCATCCAAGAACAGATTGGTGATGACCAATGCCTTTTCCAGCATGATGGAGCACCTTGCCATAAGGCAAAAGTGATAACTAAGTAGCTTGGGTAACAAAACATCGAAATGTTGGGTCCATGGCCAAGAAACTCCCCAGACCTTAATCCCATTGAGAACTTGTGGTCGTTCCTCAAGAGGCGGGTGGACAAACAAAAACTCACAAATTCTGACAAATTCCAAGCATTGATTATGCAAGAATGGGCTGCCATCAGTCAGGATGTGGCCCAGAAGTTAATTGACAGCATGCCAGGCCGGATTGCAGAGGTCTTGAAAAAGAAGGGTCAGCACTGCAAATATTGACTCTTTGCATAAACTTAATGTAATTGTCAATAAAAGCCTTTGACACTTATGGAATGCTTGTAATTATACTTCAGTATACCATAGTAACATCTGACAAAAATATCTCATAACACTGAAGCAGCGAACTTTGTGAAGACCAATACTTGTGTCATTCTCAAAACCTTTGACCACGACTGTACTATATATATAATGGCCTATGTAATGATATCAGTGTACTATCTAATGATATAGTAATACTGTGTGTGGTTTGAGGTGAACCTACTTTCCATCGGCCAGATTGAGACCTCTGAAGAGGGGGTAGTCCTCGGGGCTGGGTTTGCCTGTGTGGTCCTCATACAGGAAGACAGGGGAGCGTCCCACCTCCACCCCCAGCTGCTGGATGCCCTGCTCGTTATACACAGACAGCAGGAAGGACTGGGAGCCCTTCTTAGGCTTCACTGTAGCCAGGATGGAGAAGTCCTCAGGAAACACATCAGCTGTGGAGGGGGAAGAGAGGGATGGAGGAATGGAGAGAGAGGGGGGGCGGAGTTATAATACACCAGTTCATGTAATGTGCTGAATAGTGAGAGTCAGAGGACCACACCCCTGCATGGGTTTGATGTAAAGTATTGTTTTCAAGAGAGAGTAAAATCTTAATTAAATCCATAAATACAGTCAAATAAATGGTGTACTGCACTGAAACTATACTAGGATAACCTTCAGAGACACATAGTCAAGACCATGTTATGTACTGAAGCAGGTAGAGGACACAAACAGGGAAAAGGATGAAGAACATGGGACAGAGGAGATGACAACGTCTTGGACAGAGGAGACATCTAAATAACGTCTTGGAGCATCTAAAGCAAACAATAGCTCTCTCCAAACCTCCAACACTGGCCAGAATACTGAACAGAACAGCACAGAGCTGGGAGGGTTAGAGAGAAAAGTCTGGAAGTGAGACAGGGAGGGAGGGAGAGAGAGCGAGCGAGAGAGTAGACAGGAAGGAGAACAGAGTAATGAGAATAGCATGTGGTCTCTGGGTGGCCATCAAAAACACTTTCTCATTTTCCCAAACCCCTCTTCCCCTCTCCTCCTCTCTCAGACCTGATCCATCCACCAGACACATAAAGGGAGGGAGAGACAGAGAGAGAGAGAGGGAAAGGGGAGGGAGAGAGAGAGAGAAAGACAAAAGAAGGATAGAGAGACATACTTATGAAAATAAATGGGATATGACGAGAGATGCTGAGAAAGAGAATGAAAGCCAGAATAAAGGAGTATTTACAGAACAACAAAACACGGGACAAACAAAAGTGAAAAAAGGGGAAAAAGGGGTGAAAAGAAGAGAGGAGAAGTGAAAGGGACGTTTCAACCCCCTCTCTCCCTCTTGAGGAGCGCCCACCTCCCTTCTTCCCTTCTTCCCTGCATCCCTCCATCTGCATGCCTAGTCTAAACTCTCCCTCCATTTTGTGTGCGCCAGCCACATCTGTGAGACATATGCCCTTAGAGCAAGGCCTTGTGGGACATTCTCAGCCCCCTAACAAGGGTGCGGGCCTTGCTTTTCCCCTGAAGACAATGGGGTACTCACATACATGTGCAGGTTAGACTCACGTTTAGTTCTGGCACCATTCATAAGTCCCAGGACTAGAGAGCTGCTTTTGTTTTAAGGGGAGAGGAAAGAGGTAGAAATCTGCTGAGTTTATGGAAATCATCATGACTGAATTATGTCTTAGCGTGTTAGTTATCTTTGCAAAGTGTCTTTCTAACTACAAAGGTAGAATCTGAGTGTGGAGCTAAAGTTATGGTGTACTACTAAATTGGCATATTGTGAAGCTACAGATGCAGGATCTTAATTTGAGCCAGTTTGCTAAAATAATCCTGCAGTAACAGGAAATGTGAATTTTTATGTAGATTATAATTAATGGGCATTTTTGTAGAGTTTGATACAAATTTAATTAGGGCAAATCAAGTAGGGAATTTCAAAGTGGACATTTTTTTAAAACTCAAATACACTACAAGTTTACATTTCCTGCTTTGCATGAACATTCTCAGCAATTCTCCTACATCTACAGCTGCAGAAAAAATTAAGAGACCACTGCAAAATTATCAGTTACTCTGGTTTTACTATTTATAGGTATGTGTTTGGGTAAAAATAAGATTTTTATTTTATTCTATAAACTACTGACAACATTTCTCCCAAATACCAAATAAAAATATTGTCATTTAGAGCATTTATTTGCAGAAAATGACAACTGGTCAAAATAACAAAAAAGATAATATGCGAATAATGGAAAGAAAATAAGTTCATGTTCATTTATAAACAACACAATAGTAATGTTTTAATTTAGGAAGAGTTCAGAAATCAATATTTGGTGGAATAACCCTGATTTTCAATCACAGCTTTCATGCGTCTTGGCATGCTCTCCACCAGTCTTTCACATTGATGTTGGGTGACTTTATGCCACTCCTGGAGCAAATATTCAAGCAGCTCAGCTTTGTTTGATAGCTTGTGACCATCCATCTTCCTCTTGATCACATTCCAGCCTGCCCAGTCACACGCTTCCTCGCGTGAATACGGGGAGTTGGCTCTGCTCTAACACTAGGCTCCGCCAACCACCCTTTTAGCCCCCCCAAAAAAAATTATTGGGGCTGTCTCTCGGGCTTCTTCCTCGGCCGGCGCCTTCTGCGTTGCCGCTGCTCCTCTCTATACCGGGCCTCCACTGTCTCCTCCCAAGGACGGCGATCCATCCCGGCCTGAATCTCCTCCCATGTCCAGGATCCCTTTCCTTCCAGGATCTCCTCCCATGTCCAGGCTGTCTGCTCCTGGACACGCTGCTTGGTCCGTGATTGGTGGGATCTTCTGTCACGTTCGTTCAAGGACGGGTCGGACCAAGGCGCAGCGTGATATGCATACATGTTTATTTAAACTTAATAAACACTCGACAAAACAATAAACGAAACGAAACGTGAAGTCCACGGTAGACACAAACAACATACCTTATACGGAACAAGATCCCACAATTAACGAGTGCCAATAGGCTGCCTAAGTATTATCCCCAATCAGAGACAATGAGTGACAGCTGCCTCTGATTGGGAACCATACAGGACAACATAGAACTACACATACTAGAACATTAACATAGATATACACCACATAGAAAATCACACCCTGACTCAACAAATAAGAGTCCCCTGAGTCAGTGCGTGACAACCTGGCTGTGTGGCATGGTGCATTGTCCTGCTGGAAAAACCAATCCTCAGAGTTGGGGAACAATGTCAGACAACCTTTTACGTGGCTTGATTCATGCGTCCTTCACAAAGACAAATCTGCCCGATTCCATCCTTGCTGTAGCACCCCCAGATCATCACCGATCCTCCACCAAATTTCACAGTGGGTGCGAGACACTGTGGCTTGTAGGCCTCTCCAGGTCTCCGTCTAACAACCATTAGACGACCAGGTGTTGGGCAAAGCTGAAAATTGGACTCATCAGAGAAGATGACCTTACTCCAGTCCTCTACGGTCCAATCCTTATGGTATTTTGCAAACCTGAGCCTGGCTCTTCTTTGCTTCTCATTGATGAAGGGCTTTTTTCTAGCTTTGCACGACTTCAGCCCTGCCCCTAGCAGCCTGTTTCGAACCGTCCTCACCGTGCACTTCACCCCAGCTGCCGTTTGCCATTCTTTTTGTAGGTCACTTGATGTCATCCTACGGTTGTTGAGTGACATTCAAATGAGTTGGCGGTCATCCTGGTCAGTAGAGAGTAGTTTTCGCCCTCTGCCGGTCTGTACCTTTGTTGTCCCCAATGTCTCCTGCTTGACCTTGTTCTTATGAACCGCCGTGTTTGAAATTTTAAGGATGGAAGCAACCTGACGCTCACTGTATCCCTCTGCCAGTAAAGCAAGAATTGAACCCTTCTTTTCCTCACTCAAAACTTTCCTTTTCAACTCTTTTGGCATGGTCAATAGTTATTTTTTATTAATATTACTTTTGAGGTACTATTAGCACTGTTTTTGCCATCCAGCTGGTCCTATTGCAAGAGGATAGTGATGACCACAGCAGTGTTATACTTTTCCTCGTTAAATAAGATTTGGTTCATGTGATCACCTAATCAGTACCTAATTCAGTAGAATGAGGTGTGCCTGTGTTGGAATTCAACAGACACTGGAATGGAATGGCTGTCATACATGTAGAGATGCTGATTTAAGAAAAACTGCAGTGGTCTCTTAATTTTTTCCACAGCTGTATATTTGTGATGGTATTTGCTCATTTACACTTAGATTCAAAGGGTAAGAAATGTCTCATATGAGAAGTAAAGCAGTCCTATTCTGTAGCTTGGAAAACTCTCTCCATTTATTTTCTAACCCTCACCCCCCTCCCCTATTAATGGAACCCAGGCTGTGGTCACCATGTAAAAACAGCATTAGAGCGTCGCTGAGACAGACAGCCAATCAGAGGGCTCGGAGGCGAAAGACGCCTTGACAGGAGAGCAGTGGGAAGGTTCTCGAGCCTGAGGTTTGGAGCAGTCAGACACTGGAGAGAGGAAGGGAGGGAATGAAGGAGGGAGGAAAGGAAAGAGAGGAGGGGGAAGCGCTTTAGTCACTGATGGAAAAATATGGATTTGTCATCATCAGCCATTTTCTATTTTCTCCACTTTCGCTCTCTCCTCGTTGTCTGTCAATCTCTCTCTCTCTCTCTCTCTCTCTCTCTCTCTCTCTCTCTCTCTCTCTCTCTCTCTCTCTCTCTCCTCTCTCTCTCTCTCTCTCTCACTCAGTAAAGACAGAAAGACAGGCCTGTAATCAATTCATGCAGTGTCCACAAGTCTTGGCAGTGTGTTCCAGAGGAATTCTCTTTGGCTCAGAGAGAGAGAGAGAGAGAGAGAGGGGCAGCAGATGCTTGAGTTTGAGTGGCAGATGCTTTGAGAGCAGAGCAGAACAGAGCATGGTAAGAAGAAGAAGAGAGATGAGAGCAGGCTACAGTAAGAGTTGCCAACTTGCCACTGGTGCAATCCTCTCTACCCCTCAGCTCATCTCAGCAGAGCAGGGAGTGGCAACATCGGAGCGCTCGCTCAGGAGCAGAAATGGGACGTAGAGTGACTGAACAGTTTTGTGGTGACAAAAAGGTGAGAAAGAGAGAGGAGGGGGAGACAGAGTCTGATTGAATCATTATTTATTATCAAAAAACACAAAAGTCTTTCAATTGTAAATTTGAAACACTCCTGAAAGGGCACTGTCACATGACCAGGTCTGCAGTCTACCGTGAGTGGTTCCCGTTAGCTTGGTCGGGTGTTGGCTCTCAGCGCTGCTGTGTTTACATGCTGTCTCCTCTCTTTCTTAACTCTAGTGACCTTACCGTTACTGTCGGGACTGACATGGCCTGAGAGAACTTTCGCCATGAGAGAGATCAAACTAGTGGAGGAAGAATGGAAAGAGGAGGAGCCTATTCTCAGACTCCTGTGTATGTGTGTGTGTGTGTGTGTGTGTGTGTGTGTGTGTGTGTGTGTGTGTGTGTGTGTGTGTGTGTGTATGTGTGTGTGTGTGTGTGTGTGTGAACGTGTGTGTGAACATGTCTGAGAGAGAGCGGGTGATGGTTGTAATGGTAACAGCAGCAGTAGTTATGCTAGTGGCAGACATGCTGGTTTATCCTGGCAGCGCCACCTCCCTACAGTGTCTGTCAGGAAAAGTCTCTCAGATGCCCCCAACAGCCAATCAGACACTGTGGCTAGCAACCAATCAGTGTGACTTGTAATACAGTATGAAAAAAATGTATGCGCTCACTAACTGTAAGTCGCTCTGGATAAGAGCGATGTAATTAATAACAGTATTAGTAACTGTAAAAAAACAGTACAACTTTATGAGTAAGTGGAACTGAGTTATTCAGCCTCTTAGGCTAATTGGTACATACAACTTATAATTGTGCTTTACCAGAACAGATGAGTTGGATAAGTGCTGTAGCTAATAGCTGTGTTCGGTATTTATTGGTTAAAGAGGGGAGAGGACGGGGGAGAGCGATTTGGTTTGCCACTGTGCTGTGCTGTCATACCTCTGTGTCTGACTCCCCATCCACATCTGCTCTGTGTGTGTGTGTGTGTGTGTGTGTGTGTGTGTGTGTGTGTGTGTGTGTGTGTGTGTGCATGCGTGCGTGCGTGTAGAGATAGAGAGTGGTGGTAGTGGCCCCCCAATGAAAGATAAGATAGTAATGAACAGCATGTCACCTCTAAAGACCAAAGGGAAAGCTATAAGGTGTTCTGTCAGAGAGACTGATTAGAGCGGAGCAGAATGATGACACGGCTTTTCTCAGCTGTTGCCTTCTCTCTTCCAGCTTTTTGGCTACCACTCCTGTTTTCTCCTCCAAACAAATTGGAAGAAGGGAGGAGGAAGAAGAGAGGGGAGAGAAGGGAGAGAGAAGAAGATGAGACCACCCAGCTAATACAGTCCTGCCATAGGCATGAATCCAAAGACATCCCACTGTGAGATAAAAGTCGCTGTATGAGAGTGGTGGGATGACGTCAGTCTTTCCTTACAGTTTGTAGCACACTGATGTTGCCAATTGTTCACCCTGGCTAACCCTACTGAGCGTGAGAGAGAGAAACCTACTGTAGACCATGGAAGTCCTAACCCTGTGTAACATCTCTAAAATGATGAGTATGTGCATATGTGAATTTATGTGTATAAGTGACTTTTGACTTCCAACTGCTCGTCGCTTTGGGAAACTGTAAAAGAGGGACTGAGAGTTATTTGATAAAGAACATTCAAGACTATTCTGACATATAAGTCTGAACATTAGAGTCAGAGGTATGGACATGTTGAGAGAAGCCAACTGTCCCGTTGGTCTGTTCGTCTATTTATAATCCCTGAAGAGAAGATGGGAAACAAGCACAGTACAGAATCTCTCTGTTTCAGCCCTTCCATCCTCTAATGAATCACTTCTTCCATGTTTGCTTAATGATAGCATGTCTACACTCGTTCTTTTCCAACACATCATCAGCTCATAAAATGTCTGTGGGTTTGAGAGAACATGCTCCTAATGTTCCTGATCTAAAATGTGTTTGGTGGGGGGGATGTAGGAGGATGTTACAGTCTTAATCAACCAGGCTAAGAGCCTACGTTTAGTAGTAGTATAGAGGGTAACAGAGAGAAGGAACTGGACCAAATGATCTCACTCTTTCTGCCTTCTGGAAGATATTAGCTGTACTCTCTCTCTCTCCCCCTCTCTCTCCATGTTGAGGTGGACGACTGGAGTCAACTATTGACCACAGCACAGACCTCTACTAGCTATTAAACTACTCTAGACCACAGGGCTCAATAACTTTGCTTATGTCTTAATGTTCTGGAATGTCTATTTCAAAGGATCTAGAATCAGATTATGTTTAGTTTGTTCTAGAAGAGTTTTGGTCCTTCCTTGAGCATTGCTTGAGACTATTTCATAAGTCTGTAAGTTTATCATAAACAGAAGAGAAGCCCAAGTTTGAGCTTTCAGCCTTTTCATTGAGTTCAAAATAAACATGACTTGTGTGTTTGGAGAGCATGAGAGGACATGTCCTGTAGCCTTGTGTCTGAACTCAGCTCTGCATTAAGCCTTTAAGAAAAGCCTTGATGTGGATCAAACATCCACTTTTCAGGCCTCCTCTAGGCCTCCTCCAGGCCTCCTCCAGGCCTTCTCCAGGCTTCCTAGCCTCATTCCCTAAGAACTCTAGAGCCACCCGGAGAACTGTTGTGATCAGGGAGACATTCTTGACACACTTGGCTGTCAACAAACTGGATTTTGAGTCAACTGAATGGGAGTTGGGGATTTTCTCTCTACTGCCGAATCCAATACCTACCTACCTCTCTCTCTCTCTCTCTCTCTCTCTCTCTCTCTCTCTCTCTCTCTCTCTCTCTTTCTCCAACTCTTTCCCTCAATCACTTTAAATTATTGGGATTGTCTGGAGAACACATTCCAGTCTGGGTCACACAATTTTCTGCACTGTTTGACAACGTGCATAAATAAATATGTCAGTCTTACCCAGCATGCAACAGGAAGGAACGTTGGCTAGCTAGTACATCTCTCTGAGAGACAGTGAGAGAAAGAAAATATAAAAAAATGAAAAAGCAGCACTGAAAGAGAGATAGAGAGGGTATAAGACAAAGATAGAAAAAAGAAGATGAAAGAGAGAGAGAGAGCAAAGAGAGAGAAAGAGAGTGCTGCTGTGCTGGTCACTGCAGAACAGTAAGCGAGAGCCATGTGAGCGCAATAGAAAGGGGGAGAGTGGAACCCCCATCTCCCTCCTCTCCCGCCGTCCCCCTTTTTTCCCCCTGACTCACTCCATCCTCCCACCCCTTCCAGAGCTAAGACATTTACTGGAGTATGATTCCCACTGAATCAGAGTATGAGGTTTCCAAAATGGAAGAATTAGTATGCCTCTCTGACTGTCTGTCCCCTCTTTTTTTTATTTCATTATTTTCTTTTTTAGCATGTCTGAATTAGAACGAGCTCCATCTTTATTCAACGCAGATGTGCACAGATGGAACAGACGTGAGGAGAATCATAAAGAAGAATCGAGAGAGAGAGAGAGAGAGAGAGAGAGAGAGAGAGAGAGAGAGAGAGGGAGAGGGCGAGAGAGAGCGAGAGAGAGAGAGAGAGAGCGTGTGAGAGTGTGTTTCGTATCCTACCACTTAAAATGAAGTATGGTGTTATGCTGAACTAATCTTCTTTCTTTAGAATATGTTAACTTTGGATCATAATAAACATCAGTCACTCAAGAATGACTCAGCTCCCAAATAAATAAGTCAGGTTGGAGGCCAGAACTGTTCATGTAAGGCCAACAGCCTTACAACCTGGCAGGTCTATAGAGTTTGGCTACATTTTTATCAGAGCTAATGCCTACTGAAGTGAATTATGGTGCATGAAGCCCTGAGAAATAGTGGGAGAGGTGATATGGTAGAAGGCTGTTTGAGAGCATGGCGTGCGTATGTGAATATGTGTGTGTGTGTGTGTGTGTGTGTGTGTTTGGGGAGTAGGAGGATCCAGAGTGGGAGGTGAATCTGCACATTTGGCCCAACAAATTTGCAGCACTGTAAACTATAACTCATAGGTCCAGATGACCGACAAGGATCATGATGTAATGGCCAATAAAACAGATACCTAGGTGGAAGGGGAGGAGAGGTGTCTGCCAGGTGGCAGGTGTGGAGAGCGGAGGGGATGAACGGACCAGGTGGGAGGAATAAGGACAGATCTTATGGGAGTTTTACTGCAGTCTGGGACATTCCATCCATGTCAGGACATTACACCAGTGATTTACACCAGTGTTTTATTATTGACTAGGGGTCAACGAGTTCATATGTGTCAACACCAGAGGTAGGGGAGAGGCCACAAGCAACCAATAGGAACAGACTTAGTAGAGGAGAGGCCACAAACAGCCAATAGGAACAGAATTACTAGGGGAGCATCTATAACACCCCAGCAACACCAGTCAGGAGGAATCTTACTGTAAAAGCTATACGCATTAGATGATATTTGAGTAAACAAGGTAATCTGTACATTGGAGTAGAGGGAGGGACGATCTCAATCAGAAGAGATACAGTAATGTACTTGAGGAAGACATGAAAAGAAAGGAACAGGTATCTTTTAAGTTCAGAGATCCAAGGAGATCAACCAATCAGTGAATGGTCATGATCAGGTACTTACCAGGGTACAGCTGTTTGGTGGGGGCACTGAGCTGGGCTTCTTTGGATACTCTGTAGGCTACATCGGCTCCTTTTGTTGACTTCCTATGCGCACAGAAACCTGTCGTTTTCGTAACGCCTTCAGGTAAACTGGGAAAATCTAAAATCTTCAAGAGGTCCGCTGGCTCCACTACAGAGGGAAAGAGACGAGAGAAATATTTTAGGTTCGACTCATATCAAACACACTCATTTCAAATTCAGACTCACACATCTCTCACAATCATCCACATACAGAAGCACCATAGCACAAAGCCATACCATCCACAGTGCTGAAAGACCCCCACAACAGGAGAGACAGTCAGTATCCATTTCAAGTAACCCAATTACTCAGGCTGTAGACAGAAAAAACAGATCCTCCTTTCACTAGCCCAGGAGTGTCAAACCCATTATGTCTGATGGTTTTAGTTTTTTCCTTTCAATTAAGACCTAGACAACCAGGCGAGGGAAGTTCCTTAATAATTAGTGACCTTAATTCATCAATCAAGTACAAGGGAGGAGCGAAAACCCACAGACACTTGGCCCTCCGTGGACTGAGTTTGACACATAGCTGGGACCTGCTTCCAGTGCAGTAGGTGCACTCCAGACCCCTTCTATTTATCCATTCCCCTATTCTCTCCATCCTTTTCACTGACGAGACAGGGGTACAGTTATAGAACCAATCTAAACTGTGCGAGTGTGCCCTACACTCTAACTACAGATCTAGGATCAGATTACTGTGCCCACTTTCAAAATCTTAATCCATTAGGGGGTTATGAGGAAGTTGGATGCTATGATGAACTACTGCCATGACCGAAGTCCATCCCTCCATCCCTTCATTTCTCCACTAAAGCTGCCTTCCTCTTCCTTCCCACAAACATACAATTAGCACACTCTCAGGCTGGGCCTTGGGGTTTTCTCCAGAGCACCGCAGGGGCAGGCGCAGGAGCAGCACGGTCGGGTCAGAACAGGGTGTGACGTTGTGGTTTGACCCCTGACCGCACCTCTGACTGCACCCCTGCTGGCTAAAACAACCCCAACGACCTAACGAGCCGCGAACAAACAGATGTGTCTGCAGCCAGATGCTACAATGCTACGATGATCTCTGCCTCAAGGCTACTGCCCAGAGCATATAGCATAGTCCCAGTACTGCTCAGAGCAGAGACCACACAGTCAGGGGAAGGGATGGACCCATATAGGGCCAACATAGGGACAGGGTCAAAGTGAGGCTTAGAGGGAGGCCAATACAAAAGGGAGGGGGTTTGAATGTAGGAAAGCAGTTTATGGTCTGGTTTAAATAACGAAAACAAAGACAAAAGCACACATTCTGGAACTCTGTTGTTGCATTCTAGTGTTCTGTTGAACCCCTCCAGTTGGACTGAGAAAGGCTCACACACACACACACACACACACACACACACACACACACACACACACACACACACACACACACACACACACACACACACACACACACACACACACACACACACACTTACACACACACACACACACACACACACACAAACACACACACACACACACAGGTAAAGCAGGAAGGATCAGGTGTCAGGTCAGCCAGGACCACACACATTTATTGAGGCTGTTCAGAGAGGAGCTTTCAAAAGCCCCATCCATCTGGAGAGAAAAGGGTGGAGGGAGGGAGGGAGAGAGGGCATGCACTCTTCCCACTGCCCCTTAACTTCCTCCAGCTGGAGATCATTACAGTCTCTCACGTGCAGCGCAGCTCAATTAAAATAAACCACTCAACCACTAAACAAAATTCTAGATCCAAATCCACTACAGATACACATGACCATGGATCACCATCACCATCCACAGCACTAGGGGGAATTCCTTCCTTCATAACTTCCACTTTACTGCTGTTGATATCAGGCATCACTATCAGCTAGTTAGAGAAAGATTTGAAAATGTGATTTTGATCATCTACATTCCATGCTGTGTAGTGTACAACATCTGATTCTGGACAGGCATCTGACCCATATCAAACAGCTCTCACACACAGCTCGCTTATGTTCCCAGTCCCACACATATACTGTATGTAAACACAACTAACGACACTCGCGCTCTCACTTGGTTAGGTCATATAAACAGAGAGAGAGCGAGAGAGGTGGGGAGGGGGGAGTGAACTCTCATATGGGTGTGTGCAGACCATTAAGAGGAAAATACGTGGGATTGGAGTCAGATGAAAGATTGTGAACTATGTGGAGATTCACTCGCCAACTTCCTCTCTCTTTTCCTCTCTTCCCCCTCTCTCTCTCTATTTATCTCTCCCTCTCTCTCTCTCTTTCTCTCCCTCTCTCATTATCCAGTGCCTTCCCTTGCTTCCTCTATGAGCTGGCCCTCTCCTCTCTTCCTGTCTTCAATCGGAAGACTCTTATTATCTAACTACATAATTGTCTTTCCATCCAAAAGTGAGCAGCAGCTGAACCCAGGACATTATCCCAATGCTAGGGGGGACATATTTGACAGACACACCAGATGACTTTGACATATCTGGGGGAAGGTGCAGTAATTTCCACCAATGCCCACCCCCTACCTCTCCCTGCCCACCCTCTCTCTAAGCCATTCCAGTATGAGAACTACGTACCCCTGCAACAACAACATACCACGGAATGACAGAACCTCTTGAAGCAGTTGAAGGGCCTAAAGAAAGACTCTGATGTGTCTCTCATCATCAGCTCATAATGGAGTGAGTGATACAATGTACCCAGCAGCTAGATAATGACTTTCACTGGCTAGGCTGACTGATTGACTGAAATGAGATAGCTTGTCCTAAAGATCTCTACTAGGGTCGGACAGTATCCCACTGTCAAAATCAAGTGAAACTAAACTTAAATCAAAACTGCCAAAACTGCCAACAAGGCTCAGACACACAATAGGAAAACATCTTAAAACTAAGCTAAAGGAAAACTGTAAAACAAATAGTAATTATTACTGCAGGTATTTATCTTTCTCTATACAGACAATACCTCTGTAATCCTGTCCACATGAGTCCCCAAAGGACATACTGTATCTACAACAATATAATACTCAGTAGATGCATAAACCTGCTGACTCTCCTTTCTCTAGCGCCGTTGGGAATGCTGCCTGGAATTCCCATCCTGCTCCCAGTCACACCCATACCACCACACTGTTTATCCTCAAACTGCCAACAGGTCCTGTATGGTTCAGTTGGTAGAGCATGGCGCTGGCAACGGCAGGATTGTGGGTTTGATTCCCAGGGCCACCCACGCATGACTGTAAGTCGCTTTGGATAAAAGCGTCTGCTAAATGGCATACATTATTAACAGCCCAGGGCCCGTCGGTCTCCTGGGAAACCCAGCCACAAGGCCCATGGGATACTGGAGGCCTATAATGGTGGAGGTAGAGAGGAATGAAACCACACCTCAGCCACCACAGAAGAAGAACATTGACGAACTGTTAAGACCACAAGGCCCCAGCCACCGGCCACTGGGCACTACATCAAGACAGGACTGTCACACACATAGACATGCACACACAGGCGTGTGGACACACACATTCATTCACATAGTTTACACAAGGCTCAGACACACATACTGTACATGCAAAAAACATGAAACAAAGAGTAGAAAGTTCTTTAAAACATAGCAAAAGAGGTCAATTTGACCACAAACACACACACACTCCTAGGCTTTCCTCCTTCAATCTAATGTAACCCCCACCTAGCTCAATATATTCAGGGTGTGTCCCTCTCTCTCTCTCCTGATTACAGAGTGGCTGAACACAGTGGCCTCTGTCTATGAAGTCAACCCTCAAGTCTAACTGATGAGAACTAAAATTACAGTCTGAAAACACCCAAACCCACTGAGGTCTCATAGTAACAACAGGCTTAGCTTAGGACCTTGTGGTAGGTATAGGAGAGCCTTGTGGTAGGCTACATCAAATCACTTAGGGCATTGTGGTAGGAGGAACGTGTCAGACTCACTGAGTTACAGTCTGATCGCTATAGGTTAATCTAGCCAATGTTATGTGAGTGTTTTAATGTAATTAGTGGCTGGTGAATGTTGTGTGTCTCAGACTGCTATTCTAGCGACCAGCCATATCCTCCATTCTAGCGACCAGCCATATCCTCTATTCTAGCAACCAGCCATATCTTCTATTCTAGCGACCAGCCATATCTTCTATTCTAGCGACCATCCATATCCTCCATTCTAGCGACCAGCCATATCCTCTATTCTAGCGACCAGCCATATCCTCCATTTTAGCGATCAGCCATATTTTCTATTCTAGCAACCAGCCATATCTTATATTCTAGAGACCAGCCACATCCTCCATTCTAGCGACCAGCCATATCTTCTATTCTAGCGACCAGCCATATCTTCTATTCTAGTGACCAGCCATATCCTCCATTTTAGCGATCAGCCATATCTTCTATTCTAGCGACCAGCCATATCCTCCATTTTAGCGACCAGCCATATCCTCTATTCTAGCGACCAGCTATATCCTCTATTCTAGTGACCAGCCATATCCTCCATTCTAGCGACCAGCCATATCCTCTATTCTAGCGACCAACCATATCCTCTATTCTAGCGACCAGCCATATCCTCTATTCTAGCGACCAGCCATATCCTCTATTCTAGCGACCAGCCATATCTTCTATTCTAGCGACCAGCCATATCCTCCATTCCTCTCACCTCCCAGTCTCTGTTTAGTCCTCAGACTCACCCACTGACCCCACTACCGATCCAGGGTTCCCCACATCCATATAAGGACATAATCCAACACACTTCCTGATGCTGGGGGTCATGAGTATATGGTAGTTAAGAGTTACATTTTGTTTGACTTGCTGATGCTCCATTCCACTCACTCAGCTTCACTACAACTGATCTAGGATAGATCTAGGTTCATCTAATAATAATAATAATAATGTGGGGGGGTTCTTATATTTGTCGTGTTAAATACTTGTACAAGTGTGTAATGGAAATGTATTTCTTGCATATCCCAATTCCCCCTGAGATACCCGCAGGGAGAGGGGTCACAGCCAGGGTCACCATTGTCCAGCATCTCTGAAGCAATTGGTGTTAAGTGCCTTGCTCAAGGGCACAGCGGCACATTGTTCACCTTGTCTGCTCCGGGATTCGAACCAGCAACCTTTTGGTTACCATCGGTTACCATCTAGCCCAGCTTCACCACTACAACTTCATAGGGGTGTCTATGGTCGCTAATTACAAGATAACCCATCCATAAATAACCAATATACGTTATAAAAGTCCCGTCCAACTCAACTCTGCAGTTCCAGAAGCCAATCTCAATTATATACTCCTTGTGTCCTCTCTCCTTGCCTCCTTTTCAAAACCCATTGGAGGAAAAAGCCAGAGGTCCCTCCCCTCTGATCTTCTCCTCCAATGGGTTTTGAGAGGAGAGAGGAGAGAGGGACATGAGGAGTATGTAATTGAAATTCTCCCAAGGTGATATCTGACCCCCTGGACTTAGAAGCACGTGTCTGTTCATTTGGGCTTAGCTAGGCAGGGTCGGGGTGAAAGGGTTGTGGGGGGGTTGGCTTTCCTTTCACTCAACTGTCTACTCTACTACAATAACAACAATGAGCAAACAGCTAGTACAAGCTAACATTAGCAACTGGCAAATTAGCTACAATTAGCTAACAGCTAAAGTTAGCTAACAGCTCTATACTTAGAAAACAGCCATAACAGTTGACACTGACAGCTGCAATTAGCTGATGACTGCAATTAAGTTAGCAAACAGTGTGAATGGCTCCATTGGCGAGAACCAACTAGCCATAGGACTACCTCAGTCGTAGCACTGTGGGTTCGATTCCCGGGAACACACGTACCTAAAATGTATGCAAGTCACTTAGGATAAAAGCATCTGCTAAATGGCATATATTATTTATTATTATTGTTATTATTATAAATAATAATAATTATTATTATTATTATAAGCAATTCAATAATACATCATCTAAATCTGAAATGACACCCTATTCCCTATATAGTGCAATATGAGTCACATGACTGCAGTGATTGGAGATGAAGAGGAGGAGGAGGAAGAGGAGGAGTAAGTTTGGCTGCGATCAACCAGTCGATGCTAACCGTGTCGTGACCCCTGTAGAGGCCTGTTGGTTTTGCCAGTCTTCTCTGACACAACCTAATCCTATAAAGATCAGCAGCTTTTGGGGAGGAAACCGTTGTCATCAGGATATCCTCTCTCTTTCCCCTCCGCCATAATCTCCCTTTTCCTCTACCTCTATCCATCCATCCACTCCTTTCACAGATTTCATCTAGTCTTTTCTCACTTTCTTCTCCTGCTTGGCGGATATGAACATCTGTTGTTTGTCTGCTGTGTTCAAGGTATTCTCATCAGTACATGGTGGTAAGCAGGAGGGGGTGTCCTACCCTCCTAATGCTACTGTGCCATAAACTAACCCCTCAGTTGTAAGCAGTAGGTCACCCAGGGGGCATGGACAGGGAGAGTGGCAATAGGCTTCTTACTGGACAGGAGGGAGAGAGAAGGGGTGTGACATAACATCTCCCCTCTGTCCAGAGGGTAAACACCCTACAGTTTAGCCTTTATGACACGTTTTTTCTCTAAGCTGTCCTGTATGTGTTTGCGCAAGTTTCTGTGTATAGATGTGTGTTTAGCCCAATTCAACAGCAGTAGCAAGAACTCAAGTTCGGTAAACACACACACACCTCCAAACCCCAGTCACACTTCCCTCACCTTCCTCCGACCCTCCTGAGGTGGTAGTAAACCACATCCCAGCCCACAGGTATGGCTCTCAATCCCACCTTATTAAGCTGAAGTGTTTGTCTACTTAGCATGGCAGCTCCCTTGGGGGAGCAACACCTTAGGAACAGGATGGACCCTGACTGAAGCTAGGGCAGAGAGGAGAGAGAG